CAAGGCAAGACAATTTTCCCCAAGCGAAATCCCCCCTGAGCTGCGGCTCTACCCAGCCATGTTGGGAAGCTTAGGTCTTCCCATTAGTCTTTTCTGGTTCGGCTGGACAGCTAGGCCAGACGTCAATGCTGCGGTCCCAATCATCGCAATTGTCATCTTTGGCTGGGGCAATATCACATTGACCATTAGCTCAATCCAATACCTCGGGGACACATATCATCGCTCTAATGTAGCAAGTGCGGCCAGCGCGAACAGCTTAGCAAGGTATACCTTTGCTGCTGCGTTCCCATTCTTCTCATTACAAAGTGAGTTTCTTGTTCAAACTATTCCCTTGATGGAAAAGACCATAGTGCTGAATTTGAGACCTCGTAGTGTACCAAAAACTCGGTATTGGCTGGGCAACAAGCCTTCTAGGATTCGTTTCACTGGCACTACTTCCAGGCCCTTGGATATTCTTTAAATTTGGCAAACGAATCCGCCAGCGAAGCCAGTATGAGACTGCGAGCTACTAGTTGTAATATTTTACGTTCTTTGGAAAATCATGCTGCTGACTCTGGTTCGCTTTACTACATTTTGGCCTCCTATTTAGGTAGAGAAAGAAGGCTACAGCGGACAAGGGAACTAGGAGTATTGGTTGTAATTCTATTGAACACTCTACTTGGTCGGCGAAAATACATCTCAATCCCCCCGCAACATTGTTGGAACCAAGTTAGATGTGAGCTTACTGATACTCAGTGACTAAATTTTCGATTGCGTTTTGGATGTCATCACGGCGGTATCCTCCCAATAATGCCAGTTCCGCAGGGTCAGGTTGATACTCGACCACCTTGTCACCTGCAAATAGGGTGGCTCGAGGTAGCAGCGGGTGATCCTGACCCAGTGACTCCAACCGTTGACCATTGCCGACCGCTTGGAAGAACATCTGGAAGTACTCCGCATAGGTCATGTTCTGGTCGCCAACCAAGATGGCCTTCCCTGATATAGCTTGGCTGTTCTCCAAAGCCCCCGCGATGGCTTCGGACAGCGATTGCGTGGAAATGAAGTTCAGCCCTCCATGCGGAGCGAAAAAAGGAATGGGCAAATTCTCTCTGGCGTAGTCGATGTAAGCCCGAAACATGGGTACGATCATGCCCGGAACATTCCCAACGATGAAGGGCGCATCTAAACTACAAACGTGGAACTCAGGCCCAGCTAGCGACGTAAGTCCATCCGCAGCAAGCTTCCTGGATCGGACGTATGGGCTAAATGAGATTGCTTCCGGTATGATATGCGGATAGGCGCTGCCGATATGAATAAACTTCTTGACTCCAGCTTGTTTGGCAATGTTTCCGAACTCTGGTATGGCCTGGCCGTTGGCATAAAGATAGTGCTCATCCGCATGTTGTCCAACAGGCACATGCCGAACGTCGCTGCCGGCCGCAAAGACAACTGCTTCAAATTTCGAGAGGATCTCTTTACCGAAATCCCCGTTCAAATAGTTGCCTTGAATGAATGGAAGCTCGGACAATACGGGAACATCGCTGGGCCTTTTTCGTCCGGCAATAGTAACATCGCTTCCTTTGGATCGAAGATACAAAGCAGCATGGCCTCCAACCAAACCGGTACCGCCGATGACGAGCGTTTTTGTTACCATATTCTAGCGGGTGAGATATGATCGTAATTCGTGTGGCTGTTGATGTTTCCATATCGTGTGTCCTGACTAGAGAGGAGAATGTTCATCATTTTATAGTTCTCTCTACGAGAAGAATGTTCTCCGTGTTTACTAGAATGATTTGTGCTTCATCACATCATTACCCACATCTGATAAATCTCCTTCCAGCTCGATTCATAAGCCAAGAGAGAATTTCAAAGCTTCGATCGTGTGAATACTAGGGTGAATGCTATAAAGTGCCACGGAAAGCGCGGAAGCCGCGCACCGGGATTAGGATCCCGCATTTACTTAGTTGAGATGAAGTGCCAAATTTGATCATTGCAGCGACGAATTCCAGAAGTAGGATCTTGGCATTTTCAGTCTTTCAATATGACAGCTTTCCTAAAGTTTCCGCCTATTCCTATTTGTCATTGATCGATCCATTGGAGAGACGCATTGGCCGGCAATCCTCCAAGGAAACCAATGACCCTGACACTGGTAGCTTTAGGATACTATGTCAAAATTCCCCTTGACCCTGGCAAATGTGTCACAGGCAACACAAGGCTTTAGTGACCTTCCATTTCGCATAGCAGCACATCTCATCACGATATATTAGACCCTCGCATCAGTGCAGATAGTAAGCGTATTCGCAATTGAGCACGAAGATGTCGAGAAGGGCAAGTAAAGGGAAGAGTCTCAAGAGGATATGCGTTGATTTGCCTTGTTCTACGAGTTAGTTCCATATGTTGTCGCGGCATGGATAGCTAGCTGGAAAAGGCTCAGCTAAAAGGCAGGCAATTTCTTACGGAACAAGTAGTTCTGAATTTTGCAAAGCCGCTTGCTAAAGGACTCACAGGATGTTAGTCTGCAGGCAATTGCTAGGATGCCGGCGAAGTTAGGGGATTTATAGGAAGACACGAGTGACTACCAACTGGGGCATTTGGGATAACAAAGATCAAAAAAGCTCTTTTCGGATAAAACATTTAGCTAGGGTCTTAAATTTGTGCAACCAGATGCCCCATAGAGACTAAAGAGGTACCAGCTGGGAGGGGACGAAGCTTCATTTACATTCAGCAATATGGTATCACTCCATTGGCAACCGTTCATGCCCCCCTAAATAATAGCTGAAAGTTCCTCTCTGCCGTCCCCTTCATTGATACAACAGACATTCGAACACGGCCCGACTTCGGATCGTCGTTGATCAGTTCCAGCTTAATTGCAGTGAACCAGAATCATGTAGGAGCTTTGGCCATCGAGCCCGAACGACTCGCACATCACCCGAGCCGCTGCCGTCTTTGCCGATCGAGGGGAGAAGAGTACCAGGCGGACTCCTTTATCCGTTAATGCCTTGCTGAAACGCGTTTGGGCTGATCAGTCCTCCTACCATACGGAAAGATTGGATCTAGATTAAGAGGAGTCCTGCTGGTTCACAACTCATAGCTCTACCTCACTGTTGGCGTATCTTGAACGTCGTTTCCCAAGTTTGGTTTTGTTAATCAGGGAAAGTTTCATGAGGTGTGGCAATTGCCGTGCGCACCTTTCGCGGAACTAGGAGCCGTCATTTCCAAACATAGTAAGGATAGTATAATTCGGGGCAATTCAAGTACGGCGTGCATGCCGGTAAAGACTCAAGAATACGACGCAGATCGGGTACGATGCCGAGCAGCATGTAGGTGTACCGAAGGCACAATACAAGGTGAGCACTGCGATCCAGCTGCATATACTTGATCAACTCAATGCCGAGCCGCCTGTCCCAAATTAGCCGGTCACCTTCGGTACCGCAGATATACACTATGCGGTTTAGTCTGGGGGCTTCCCCACACTCTCTGTAATACATGCCGCCAGAATGCAACAGTCTCAGGGAGCATCAGGGGGTTGCAGGTTGAAAGCTTGCGGGGGAACCCCTGCACCATTACCGTTCTAAAGAGCCATCGCCTGCTGTAGCATGAGTCTACGTAGTAACGTCCTGCTTCGTCAAAATGATCCGGCCGAAGGGTTCGAACCACCTCTACGTTTATCCATCTCCTCATTCAAACGAAGTGTCCGCTCATCTAGTTTTGCCTAAATTCCCCCGCCTCGGAAGATGGTATGTTTCGTCCAAATGAGAATATGGACATCAAGAATCTAGCTCACAGGAGAATTGGGCACGCTATGCCTCGATGGTTGATTTAATTACGTCTCGAGATGCCAAGAGAATTGTATAAGATCAATGTCACCTGCGTCGATTGCCGAACTCTTGGCAGCCTTGAACCAACTGATTTTCGCCTCGCTCACTTCAACCGTTGACTTTCAAGATGGTTTCCATTCGCTCCCTGATCTTGAGCCTCTCGACTATTTCTACTTGCCTCGCTGCCCCGGCAATCGGGCCAGCTGAGTTGCTGCCTCCTCATGTTGAGCGACGGGGCCCTTCCGACTTCTTCCTGGGACCCAATCACCCTCTCATGCTCGCACGCCGCAATGAGTCCCTCGAAAGACGAGGCATGACTCTTGAGGAGCGCACCAACTACGTCCAAAACTACCAGACTGGCGGCACTGTCAACTTCACGCCCTCGGGCAACAGCTTCAGTCTCAACTTCGATACCACAGACGACTTCGTTGTCGGCGTCGGTTGGAACCCAGGTTCTACCGCCCCCATCACTCATTCCGGTTCATTCGCAGTTACCAAGGGTCTTGCGACCCTTTCAGTCTATGGCTGGACCACCAATCCGCTTGTGGAGTACTACGTCATTGAGGACTCTGCCGGATTTACACAGACCGGGACGAAGAAGGGCACCGTGACCAGTGATGGTGGCTCTTATACCATCTGGGAGAATGTGCGCACCAACGCCCCATCAATTCAGGGCACCCAGACCTTCAACCAATACATCTCGGTTCGCAACAGCGGTCTTACAAGCGGTACGGTGTCTATTTCCAATCATTTCAATGCTTGGAAGAGCTACGGTATGAACTTGGGTACGCTTAACTTCCAGGTCATTGCTGTCGAGACCTGGAATGGCGCTGGCTCGGCAAAACAAACTGTCACCAACTAGTTACTTCATGACTACTTGTTTCGCCCTTATCTTGAGGTCAACTTATCTGCATTTCATTCAACATCGGAAGGCACTTAAGAGATCTGCCAGCCGCAGAACACGGGTTATTACCTTCTATTGTACCTATTCTATTTGGGTCAAAGTATGACCAAGTATCAAATACATTCTGCCACATATATATTCGCAATGAAATATCAATCTCAAGTTTTTACGGAGTCTATTTTCTTAACTAGAGCCGATGTGTCGTAGAAAGTCTAAATTCGACAGTTCGCCCCAGACTGGAAGCTCTCGTTTCAGAGCCACACGCCCAGTCGCCGTTGGCTTAGAAATTTTCCATGCTTTCAAACTGTTTGCAAGATACCTCTGACATAGTTTTCAAAGCTTGTGAACTTCACATCTGGATATAATTCCCTCGCATCAAGATATCCAAGATAGCGTGCATACTCAGGAGTATTCTCGCCTCGAATACCAAGCAGATTCCGATACTCTCCCATACCAATCTCGGGGTTGATTGTCATAATGTCCTGACCTGTGCGACCCTGGGAGATAATGCCTTCCAGCTCTTCCTTAGTCATCTAAGCCATCTGTCAGTGCCTTATTTTCCAGAAAATGACGAGGGTTCAGTGAGCGTACGAATTCTCGTGTCACAGTTTCTCCCGACACCTTCTCAAGAATGTCGAAGGCTTCATTCTGTGTCTTGACCTCTCCATATGCAAAAACCATCTTGTTCAAGGTCCTCGGATCGGCGATGATTCGGCTGACAAAATTTCCAATGTCACGATTGTTGGTAAGTGCCCAAGGGGTATTGCCGTCCCCAATCACACGCGTGGTGCAGTATTCTTCTACCATTGGGCGAAATCTGCCTGAAGGTAGGGCAGGCAATGTCAGCTGATACCACCATCCAACGTCGATGATGGTATAAGGCAGATGGAGGTCCCAGATACGGTCAACGAACTCCTGTTTCTGCCATGCCGATGCTCGAATTAGCAATAGTCTCAACGTCGATTGTGAAAACACTTCACATGAGGCACGCCATTTCATTGGAGTCTCACCTTATCCCTGAGCATCATCACGCCTCGGGGTGCGCAGATCGGGCCCCAAAAGCTTGGAATATATCGACCAACGTTAACCTTGCTCGATGCTTCGATAAGATTCATCTCCTCCTGAAATGTGAACAAGTCAAGCACGAGATGACGACGTCCATGTTAGTGAGGACTCCGGAAATTGCCTCTGTTGGCCCATCTAGCTCAATTGCCTTAACGTGGACGCCTTGCTTTGCAAACTCAACGAGCTCGGGCTTCTTTATCGAGGAGGGTCTCGCTAGAGCTGTAACTTCCTGTCGCCAAGTGAGTTAGATGCGCCCAAATCCAAGTGCAGAGATCCGATCCGACAAAATCCAACTTACGAAGAGTTCGGGACTCTTCAGAAGCGCATTCACAATGGAAGAGCCTGTGTTCCCGGTAGCGCCGGCTATGGCGACTTTGATTTTGTTCGCCATCATATCTTCTGAATTTTCTCCTTCTCTCAGGTACGTGGCAAAGATCTTGAATGTTACTGGTTTAGGTAGACGGTTACGCCGATGGATATGCGGCAGGTATGGTTAAATAAACACCATGTGAGTCTACCGAGACTGTACTACTCGGAGACATAATGGGCTTGATAGACCCCATCCAGGCGTAATTATAGACCGAAATATTGAAATGGTAGCTCGTCTCAAGTTTTGGAATCGTGGGATTCGGCCGAAAATCGGTCGAATGCTTATCGGGGGCCGCGTCGGGTAGCGACTAACAACCCGAACGGAATACAGATTCCCAGTCATCCAATTAGCACCAAGGGTAGTGGAGTAAGAATAAGGGTTTCCGGCTATGGAGCCCATGTTTCGATGTCTCGTGTCATCTGCGAAAGTCGTGGAGGTCTTTCACAATTCAATCTCACTTCTATTCCATGATCCGATCATCACTCCTCGCCGTAGCCTTCCCCACGCCGACGTGTCAAAGTACCTATCGTATGATCTTTACATTGCATCAATAGATGTCTTCCGACTTTGAAAAACAAGATGCGGATATCTTGCCGTTCGTGAACTTTAGTCACATCCGTCATTGATTGAATAAGGTCTCCTTCTCGTACTCATCCTACTTGCCTCGAGTGAAAGATCGAGTGAAAGAAGGGTAGGATATTTTACTTCCTTGAAAGTCATGGTATAGATGGTCTCGCCTTCTCATCAATACGATGGCGCCAACTTCTACCCCAGAGTGCGACAGCCCAAACACTGAGAGCTCCGACCACCAAGAAGCCGGCAGAAATGGTGCTGAACCATCCAACTCCAATTACCTTGATTGCTGGAAGTACAACAGCCGAGCCAGCGGCACCAAAGAGGTATCTTACCATAAAATTGCCCGCAATCACCTCCGCGCTGCGTCCCTGTATCACATCCAAGCAGTATGTGTTCAGACTGGGGAAACAGAACAGCTGTGATACACCTCCGAGGAACATGAAAACGACAGGTACAGCAATGCCACCAACACGCTGCTGGACTGTCCATCCGTAAATGAGCATACATCCCGGCAGAACGGCCCCCAAGAAGGGAAGACAAGAGCGCAGCCGGTCTTCGGAAATGCGTCGTCCGTGTCGCTCGGCTATCCAGCGCCGAACTGTATAATCGGCATAGCGGCCACCTACGAGGGTACCAGCAAGATAGCCGCAGCCCGGAGCCAAGTAGAATAGGCCCGATTGTGCCGGCGACGTCAAAGAGAAACGAGGGTTGAGAACGTATCGGATCGGGGTCAGCATGCCGTACATGTTCCATACGAGCGAGCCACTGGCGATTGCCACCAGGATGAGGTTCGGAAACTTGAATAGTCGAACAACTCTGACCGGGTTCGTCATGCCCCATAGCACGCTGACCTTTTTACTGAATGCAAGCCCTTCGAGGCCTGCCTTTTTCAGTTCTTGCAGCGTCTCTGGCATGAACAATATGGCACCTCCAACGCCGACACCTGCGAGTGCGGTTTGAAGCCAGAAGATGGCGCGCCAAGATGTATAGGTCACAATAATACCTCCGAGGACTGGGCCAATCGTCGGTCCGATGAGTGTGCCGGATAAGAACCAACCCATCGCAGTCGCGCGTTCTGTAGGATGATACAAATCGCCAATCACTGCAGGACCGGTGACGAGGAACGATGTTCCGGCAAAAGCGGTCAGGATGCGAAACACGAAGAAAGCCGGGACGTTGGGGCTGAGTGCTGTTCCGATCGAGCACCCCAAAAACAGTGAAGCTGTCACCATACACGTCTAGATCAATTTGTCAGCCATACATCCTCTACCTTGATGAACAGGCGACGACTAGTTGACAATGAACTCGTCGCGGAATGAGAAGTGGTGTCTGTAGAGAAACTACTTGCCCATTTTCGGCCGTACACTTGGCTCAATGGCCCCCAAAAGCAGGGGCTAATGGCCATAAAGACAAGATACAACGCATTGCTAAGACTGATGATATCTCCGCTAGTCTTGTACTCGGCTGCAACTTCAGGGAGTGCTGACAGGACCGCCGTACTAGAGATTGGTGACAACAAACCACACCAGGAAATGACGGCAACAGTGATGTGCTTGCGGTGCTTTGAAAACCGGTTGTATATCTCGTAGGGCACTTCCACATTAGATTGATTACGAGCCACTGGATCGTCTTGGTAATTGAGGACTCCTGATGGAAGCTTTGCCAAGCTTGGTTGCGATGAATCATCTACGACAATAGGGTGAGTTACTAGAGTTGATAGCTCCACTGGCTGGGCCAAGACGAACCTCCTTTGGCAGTTTTGGACCTCGCAGGGATGATGTCGGCATACTCCTCAATGTCGTCATCGCGCCTATCTGAGGAGGTTCTCTGGGAAGAGTCTCCTTGTTCGCGAATGCTGTTGTCGATTGCCATTGTGGGCCATTTGTTTCCAGAGGCAAATTACTATCCAGAGTTCGTCTAATTGAATGGTACAGGAAATTTTGACAAAGACAAGGAGCAAAACTTGTTTCCGCGGCGTACGGAAATGGGCCACTGATATGGCGGCCGATATCCGTGACTAACCCTCCACTAGATGGGGCCGACTCGGCAACACCCGAAGCCTGGCTCCGGACATCGGGACTGTTGCACCTCTCGGATGGGCGATGCTGGTATTTGAGAGCACTTCTAAGGCGTCTAGGATCCTCCGTATCCGCAGGTGTTGAGTCAGGTATACCGGCATGACGGTAAGTGTCCGAAAACCACAGTACTCGCAGTTAAACATACGATTCACCTTCTAAGGCAGTAATGTTTCCAGTTTTCTTTGATGAATTGACTGTTCCGCCATGATACCATCGAAATCAGCCTGGTTACTTTGAATTGAGAATTTTGGATTTACAGGTGAACCAGGCTCACGCACATTTCAATCAACTTATCGAATGGCCGACCTGGACGAGTGCTCCGACGCCGGACCCGTACTGTAACCGAACTGGAACCTGCTCCACCGCATTGGTTGACGCTGCAAACAATGCGTCAGGTTGCGGCGCCTCGGCACGGAATTCTTATCGTCGGCTATCCGGAAACGTGATGGAAAGAAGACTGTTGCAATGTCAACCAATAGGTAGCCGGTTTAAGTGGGCTGTCCCGTATTGCCATGGTAAGTCCGGAGAATCCCCCGAGCAAGCCTCTTGACACTTGTTGGAACTTGGCTGGACTCTGGAGTCTGGAGAGGGAACGATGGCACAGCGTCTGCATCATCGTCTCAGTACGCTTCCATTCAAGACACAGGGATACGGTGCATCTCGGAAGCACTGAGCGATGGAATTGACGTAGTGCGCTCGGTGGTAGAGTTTCTGTCCCTGAAAGAGCTTTGAGTGGTCTACCGCATGACAGTCCAATAGATAGTACGCTTTGTTGGATTTGTTAGTCCTCGGGGTAATTGTGACGCTGTTTTCTTTTACAGAGATTGAATATAGTTGCCAAGATTCTCTGGCGGGGCCGAGTCTTGAACTTGCCGGCATAGCTGAGCTTTACCGGCTCCCGGGGATAGCCGAAACTGGCAATTACCTGAGTCTCGCAACAGCACCTCCGAAAAGAAGAGACCGACCCCGCTCCGTGGCCGCCCGGCATCGGTTCGACCCCGGAGTCGGGCGGTGGTCGTTGATATTGGCAAGGAAAAGCCCCTCCCAAAGGCCGAACGGCACGGGATGGCGTGCTCTCGAAGCGGGTATGGGGTCCAGCTGTGAATGGCCAATGCTATTTAACCTTCTTGAGCACATTGCCAGATGGGGTAATGAGGAGTACCAAGCAGAAGAGGTTTGCTGTGTCAGGCAAAGCAGGGAGATGAACGTGGAGAAAAGTTTTGTGTCACTTAAGCTTCGAGGGCGAACATTTGGAATATCGAATACACCTTAGGCTAAGATACGGGATACGAGTATTGCTCCTCGACGTACTCACCAATTCTTCCTAGCGTAGACAGCTCCAACATCAAAAATTCACATGCACACAAGCTCAATTTGCCAACTTGAAAATGTAATCAAGCCTTGCCAGGTGCCTTTCTCGGTGTAGTGCTCGGCGATTCGGCAAGATGCACTTCTTTAGGCGACCGAACCAATAGCGCCGTACTGGTGTCCCGGTGTGCATGAAGAATCCTGTCTTCAGCCCCTTAGCGAGCTCCCCACGTGCTCCATCGAGTGGCTGAGGACAGTCCTCGAATTGCACCCTCTCTCCAACACGCCGCCGCCTTCTCAGGCTGCAGGCAGTAATCTCCCGCGCAATGGGTGTCTCGCAGTGTACTCAGTGTACCAGCTATGTGGTAACGGGCCCGTTTGGAAAGACCCTTTAATTCGAACCCCATCGCCACGTTGTGTCATGGGCGATCCGAACCTTGCCGAACTCACGGACGTGGAGCGGCTCTTGGGCATTTTACTTCCCTACATTGTCTCAACTCATAGAACAGTCATTTCCGAGTCATGGCTGTCGACGTTGAGGAGCTCATTCTTGCTCCTTTCCGCGAAGTAGTAGAAAGGGGGGAGGAATCTGCAAAGAATGCACACGATGCACAGGATGAGGATCCGGAAACATCCCGGGAGATGGCCAAGTCAGCCAGCACCATCGCAAAAGAAGGCCAACGGGCATTGAAGAGATTACGACCTTTGTGGAATAGCCAATTCGAAAAGCATGGAGATGTCTTCAAAGAGACCATCGCCGAAAATGGTATGTTGAGCCGTGGCATGCCTGGATGGTGGTCGATTGACTGATCTTCGAGAAAGATGATCTGGCGGAGAAACGAAGGACACTTGAAGAACTGCTTTACGACTTTGAGGATTACATAGAGTTGGACACTTTCGACTCGACCAAGTTTATCGATATTCAGACGGCGACACGAAGCTTTGCTCTAGTGGTACTGGACGCTATTCAGAGGGTGAAAATCGACGTCAAAACTCCGACCACGCCGGTGCACAAGTTTCCGCCATTGCCGCCTCTACCACCATTACCACCCCAGCTGGCTCAGTCACTCAGCGCCAGCCCGCAAATTCGGCCGGGACCGCCTTTGCGAGGTGGAAGCCACGGAACCGCCAATATCCCTTCATTTCCTGCCGTACCGCGGCAACCCAAACTGTCAGTGAGCCGTAGTCGCACGAGAGACTCACATGGCTCGTCTGATAGTGCGACGGTGAGGCGGACTCACTCCATAGCCGAGTCAACAGATTCAGATCCTCCATCATCTCGTGGATTTTCGGGAGCTAATTCCTCCAGTAAAGGGGAAAGACGACCGTTATCCCCAGGTGTTCTCAGCGATGGGATGGGCCAGCTGAGGATTGTCACTTCACCGGAACCCTTACAACCACGGACATCAGATTGGGTTGAAGAGCAGACCTCTGTTCCAAAAGCCAGGCGACCTTTCCGTGGAAGCATCCCCGAGAATTCTGCCGTGAATGATGATGCATTTAGCGATGGTACATTCGTATCCCGGATCCATCGCAGAGGCTTCGACACCGTGACGCCGCAAAGCTCGGTATTTGATCCAACAAGTCCTTCAACTACAAACAGAACGTCGATATACTCCGATGTCCCAACTTACTCTTCCAACGTAACTTCACCTGAGCTTCCAATCATCGATGTGAGGATGTCACCTAGCGCAGGAACAAAATCTGATCCAGCCCTTTCCGTCGATTTCCCATCTTCCGGACTCTTTACAGATGGACTGATGCTGGCTGATGAGCAAGCAGCCTCAGAGACTAGTACGCAACACTTGAGATCCATCTCAACAATGGAAAAGGAAGAAGGATGTTTGATAGGGCCAAAGAGCTCTTTTCATCAACTCAAGGGATTCTGTGACGGCGCACAAACATTTCGCCGTGGAGGATATTGGCACGGCATCAAGCAGACCATGACGTGGGTAAGTCAACCCTCAAACCCCCAAAACATTTTCGACGCACGGAATCCAGGTTGGGAACACTACGACTAAAACAAAAGCAGGGCGAACCACTTCCAATCGGCCGGTGCATGGATTGCGAGTATCATCATTTGAACAGATCATTAACTCTAGATAAAGAGGGTGACTGTAAGCCAACCCGAGTTTCCATTGATTTGCTTTGCTGTTTCTGACAACCCCAAGCCCGAGCAAACTTTCTGAAGTATGGTATACTCTACCGTGTGCGCCTGCTGGTCAAATCTCACATCGCGGTGAAAACAACAGCGGAAATCCGATACGCGTGTCTGTTCTGCACCCACATCGGACGCACTGTTCACGAGGGGGATGCAACCGTCTTCCAGAGCGCAGATCAGCTCCTCCAACACCTCTCTCGCCATCCACAGCCTCTCCCTGAAGTTCCTGGTGTTACTGTCTTGTATGGTCAAGTCGGCAAGGCCCATCATCAAATCGAGGATTATGATGTCCATTTCCCATCGCCTCCAGCTCCAAGTTCATTCCCCGATAATGATATCCTCACCCAGTTTCCCGTCGCCACAGCTTTGAAGAGCCACGTTCAGCGGAGAGGCGAGAACCTCCTGGGCCCTGACGGTAGCTCAAATGTGCTCACATTCTTCGTTGGCGCAAAGATTGTCGGTGTTGAGTTTCCGGAACAATGGGGCGGCAAGTGGTGCACCGGATGGCACGACGGCATTCAAGGACCCTTTCCAGCCAAATGCGTTGAGATAGAGAGCCCAAAACAGAATGAGATTTCGTTCCAAGCTACCAGCGCGGTATCGATCACCACGAGATGGAGATGGGACCCTTCCGATAACTCGAGAGCAGGCTGGCTGACGTTTGGGAAAGGAGAGATGATCAGAAACGTTGGGTGTAAGTGTTTTCCCCCTGCCCTGAGTGACTGGTCAGGCTCAGTGCTAGTGCTAACCTAAGCATCTTCAGGGCTTTACCAGGATCATTGGTGCTGGTCTGGAACGAACAGCAAAGGGAAGTTTGGCATCTTCCCTCAGTCACACATCAGCCCTCAGTCTCTAAAAGAGGGCTATTTACCGCCAACCTTGAAGCGAACACAGCCCAGCGGACCCATGAGGTTGTTCAGTCGAAGAAGAAAAAGTACTAGTACAGCCTCCTCTATGAGTGGAGATGCTTAGTGTAGAATGATTTGTGCATCCCACCATCTGGAATGGCGTTGATCTTCCCCAGAATGCTTTAGGGTGTCTGTTACCTCAATAGCCAGTCTAAATCAGCACATCTGAACTTGCTGCAAAATCTTCAGGAACTACCAAGAAGACTTTTAAATCGCAGTAGGAACCCGATGTCGTGTTCGAACCCCAAGAGCAGTCTCCTCTATGCAATGTGAAGATTGTGGTGCGAGAAGCCCTCCTGAGCAGTGGGCCCCACTGATCATTCTCCGCCAATAGCTTTCAATCAGCAACTTGAGTTTCGAGGTGTGAGATTAGGAGACTCAGCGTCTCATCAAGTATTGGAGCGCTGAATTAGACGC